ATTTAAATATTTTATCAGAAAAACTAAGAGCCAACTAAGGAAATTATTATGAATTAATAAATTTAATTTTATTATTATTATTGTTATATTTTTTAATGTTAATTTAGGTCGCCGTTAAAAAAATGTATTTACAATTAGTTTTATTTATCTTATTATAATATATTTTTTAAAATTAAACATTTAATAAAAACAATTATGTACAGTGACAATTAAACGGTCTCCATATTATATTCCTTATTTTTATATGTAACGCATGGAAACGAATTAAAATTTTACATAATTTTCATTTATAACGTATAAATTAAATATATAAATAATACAATAAGTAAATAAAACATTTATGACAATAATAGAAGCACGAAATATTGTCCTAGAGCAAAGAAAGACCCTGACCTAAAGTACAAAGAGTCAATTAGAAAAGGGAAAACTTTTAAATTTTTTTCAGTCTAAATTTTGAAAAATTCATGGAAAAGTGGAACATTGTTTACAAAACGTTTAAGCCATTATTAATTCTCATACTTTATTAATCTAATTAGCTTTATATCTTACGTAAATCTATCCAAATGAACTATGTGATCTTGAATTAATCATGCAACTGTTCTATATCCGTTTCTAAGTGCTCATAGTTCTGTTAACACCATTTTTAACATTTACATAACACGTAAATTACCTTCTAGAAACACCATTTAAAAGGGGGGAACACCATTTTCTTCCCTAATTTCTTTTGAAAGCGTCGAATTTTTAAATATTTGAAACACCCTTTATGAATCTTATCAACGTTATTAAATCTATTATGTATACAGAGGGTCAAGGGCAATGAGTAAAGTATATAAAGATATCAATTCACGGAACCAAACAGGAAATGTTGTTACTCAACAAACGTTAATTGAATAACTTGTTTCGGTACAATTTACACGTTAAACGATGTAAAAATATTAATTTTATACCATTTAAATTTTGAAATACCTCATAATTATGTTAGTATTATTATCATAATTAAAATATCATTAATATTAAGCTAAAAATTTAGTCATGGTTGCTTGTAGGGGATAAAGCTTGGAGACAAACAATTAAATATATTTAATTTTTAGAAAAATTTTTTAAGATACAGAAGAAATTTTAAGACAGATTAAGGCCCTACAATCGAAGGTGAAAGGTTACCCATCTCAACCACTTTTACGACTATATTCAATAATTTGTGGAATTTTTTATTCCATCCCAAGAGGGGAAAGTATCTCGTTTGCCCTTCTTCAGACGTTCCATGTCTCGAGTATTTAATTACGCTATATAAGGGGTATTAAATATTAGAAATTATAATTTATTTACGTAAAAATCAAGAAGAGAAACTCAATTTTTGTTTCTATATTCAATTAAATTTAGGCAGGGCCTTAAAATATTAATAAAAGCATTAAAGCATAAACACTATTAAAATAAATATTTAATACTATCTAGAAGCATTATCTGGACGTATTTGATTCGTCTATAAACAGCATCTTATGTAGAATCCTTGCTGATATTTCGAGGAAGGATGTCGACGGATCAAACTTCCAAAAATGCCAAAATTGTTTTTGAAGTATTTGTTAAGTAATATAGTTTATTCGCATGATATTATGATATAAAAATTGGGGTCACGTTTAGCAATCAAAACGTTACAGTTAATAAAGAAATATTTTTATGATAGGAAAAAAATGCCCCAAATCTATTGGTGAACTTATTTCATACACTTATTTGTTAAGTCACTTGAAAAATATCATTTCCTATTTTTAAATGATCTCGAAATTCCTTTCCTCAATGTATATAATATATGAAAGGAAGAAATTTTCTTATATACTTAGATTATTATTAAATTTCTTTGATGTAATTCTAATGTTAAGTGTTTATTTTCTTAATAATATACACAGCCAAAAGGGTGCTCCACTTAATAAAGATTTTATGAGTTATAACAATGCATGTATACTATCATTATATGGCTCTAAGGTATATAACAGCATACACTAGTATACTCATACAACACCAAATTATAATTTAAATTACCATATAGATTGTGTACAGAATAGTTTACATCACGATTTATATGCTATACTATTGTTATATACTGTAAAATTTTATGTAAAAGTGAATAAAATTAACTTTAATCACCTCCTAAAGTCAAATTTTTAAGATATTTTACTCGTACTTTAAGTGCATATTTTTAAATAGGAAATTATAATTATTAATGAATATATAAATTTACGAAATAAATAATTATATTACGAAAATCGAGAAATTTTTAATGAAAAACTTGGCACAGTTGGCAAGAAATATTGTTTATAAGTAGGGTATTTTCTTTAACCTACCTGCCCGTGCCTGAACTGGAGACCCCAATATTATATTCGTGATTCAGATTTATTTTTATAAAATTAATCATATATTTTAAAAAATAAATTAATATAAAAGTTTCTGTATAAAATTTCATTAATCTAAATGTACTTGGGGGATAAAATAACACACAAATCATCTTATAAAGGCAACTACTTAATTAATATTCCAGTTTTTAATCTCATATTCTACATAATTTAACACCTAAATAGATTATGGACACATTTATCGATATATAGAATTAATTAATTGTAATTCAACCTTCCTAAATGCTTTCTAATAAATGTTTACTGTAATATATCCACAGGGTCC